ATTTTTACGCTCTAGTTCTCATCAAGCAGCTGTTGGATCTTGGAACATGGATGGATTGCAAGAAATTCGATAAACTACAGGTTTCTATGCAGTCAGAGTAACTTCAGGCACTCATCATTCATGATTTTTGCCTAAGCCGTCATTATTTTGCCATAAAGAACGAACATACTGTACACGTGGCAATATCAGCCTGAAATCCTTTCATCGCTTTTTATTGTCCTTTCTCAATGCCGCGGTCGTCGAGAATCGTGGCGCATTTCCGGGTTTATATTTTTATTTCCCACCGATTCTCAGAATTCGCGTGAAAAATGTACAGTGTGTCACCGCGGATACTTTATCAGATGCGAGGGATGACGCTTTTCCTGTTCGAGATCGAGCGAAGTTGTCGGAATGACTATTTTTGCTCCGAAACCATGTTAAGCTTTCGAAGACTGAGCAGAATCAACTAAATTAAATGCGACAATGAAATACGAACCAGGGAGACTGACATTCTGGGTTGTTTTCTCGATTCGTTGGTTAGATCCACTTGCTCCCGTGAGTTCGATCATTCTTATGAAGCCTGATGAACGATAACGTTGATAACGTGTAACCAAATTCTGAGTGTTGGGCATCAAGGGTAGTTTTAGCTTTTCTCTTCGGCTTTATCGCCAACATTTTTTTCGTTGTTGTAGCGTAAACTTTTATTTAAGGTCAGGTATTGATGGCTGGGCTCTTTCAGTTCGCGGGATGAAAAGCGATCGCAGCCCTCTGTTCTCCCTCGAGCAGCGTATCAAGCCAAGGTACCTCTGGCTAATCGCATGATGTCCGCATCCATCATCATCTTTATCTTTGTGCGCTCTTCGGCGACTCATCAATTCCCGAACGCGGTATTTTTGTGGTGAGTAACTTCAATTCAGCCTTCCTGGGAATGATAGGGTCAAAACAGCTGTTTCGTTCCTTCTTGGCGATTGAACGAATGGATAGAATTCGTGACTGAAGCGGAATGAAAACGAGTGGAAACGATGACAGACACTGAACTCTACTGAATTGAGGTTGTATGGTATTCGTCGAAGCTAGGACATTCAAGTTCATTAAGTGTTTCCACTGTTTTTTTTTTCTGCGAGCATCACTCCATGAGGTCTTTTTAAGCCATACCCCTGAAAGGTCAAAATAGTTGACCAAGACTTGAAATAATACCTCAGAGTTCGATTTTAAAGACGGAAAAACTTCTTCTGAAAACAAAAATTTCAAAATTAAACTTCGATCTGTCAGCCAGCTGCTATCTGCCATCGAAAGCAGGATGATCTAAACGAGAAAACTTGCTGTTGAATCCGCTCTATGAAAACGCTGCACGCCTAAGACGACATGAGCCGTTTTTTGTCAACGAAATTGTGTCAATTTTTCGTGGCCTATGCTATTGTGCAGTACTGTATGCACTTTTATTTTGAACTGCCCCCCCCCCCCCCCCCCCTCCCTCCAACCAGAGAGAATTTCGTAAATACGGCAATCCATCAGAAATCATGCACGGATAACGCAGAATAAGAACTCCTTACAAAACGCAGATGACACTTTCTCCTAACTTCTATGGTGTGGTCAAACTCGCTTGGGATTTTTTATTTTTATTTTTTTTGCACGCGGAGGATGAATGGAAAAGATTGGTCGCCTCGAATCGGTCACCTACAGATTTCTGAACACCCCTCCACCCCGTTGAATAACGTATTTTTATTCGCGTAGAAACCACAACAGCCCTCGTATTTGTTCGTCACGTCGCTTATTCGAGTTTCTCGGCACGTACAGTGAAATTGAAGTTCTTATACAAAGGTGGATCCTGATCATAATTTGAATGGGAGGATAAAGTCTTCCTTGCATAATATTGACCCAGTTTTTGCCCCTCAAAATTAAACTTGCATCATACACTGGAATAAGCCGTCGACATAGCCGACGAGCAGGCATTCCCGGAGCGATCACAACACGGCAAGAAGGAATTAATATCGCACGTTCAGCAATCAAAGCCGGGTCATATCAGTGCGCAACGGTGGCTTATGCGGATTTACGCCGGGGGTAACTAATTGCTTATTCATTAATTACAGTCACAGAGAGGAAAATCGGTGCGTCATCCCGAACTCATCACCGTAATTACAGCAGTACGCGAAAATGAGCGACTTTCTTCAAAAGCTCTTGTATCTTTGAATAACTAGATTTTGATGCCGCATGCTTGATGCCGCATTGATTCCATGCTTTTCACCCCAATAGCTCGCATGCTTCAGCAAGCAACCTGTTTAGATGTAAACTAATTCGAACAACGATAAACAGAACGATGGTATCTGGATGGAATTCTTACCAATCATTTATAAATGATTACTTCAGCCGCTTTCCATGTGCTTCAGCGCATGATTTAAATTATTCTTCTCCGTCTTGCAAATGTCACTATCCGCACTATTTTCGTTGAAAACAGTTACCGTTCTCCCTGAAATTCCCTCCAATATAGTTCTGAAAAGCGTATATTGCTAGCATATAATCAAGGTATACGAGCAGTGGCCAAGCGAACTTTTACGAATTCATCGGCCAATATTGGAGATACGAGTAATCTCTCATATTTGGGCTGATTTTGAATATTGAAAAAATTTCAGAGCTAAAGCATCAGAAAATTAATCACTGTTCATTCGGAATCATTATGACCGTGATCGCGCGCAAAAATAGTTCGAAAACCTACGGGTGCAAAGTTCACAGATTGAATATAATTGATTTATTCGTTACTTTATAGGTCGCGGGTTTGTCTCCAAAACTGTAATGTTCTCAGCCTACATGTTTCTTCGTTGAGTGGCTTCGAAAATTCTGGGTTCAGCCGATAGTCAATTGAACACTGCATTCGCTCTCTAGAAGATATTCAGAATCGAAAACTGTGGGTGGTACTGAAAGGCTGCGCACGACTGAACCCAGTCATGGATTGAAAACCTCATTCAAAATGTTCAACGCATCGTGAACACAAATACCCTCAATGTAATGTCACACAAATGAATGTGGTATTCCCGACAACCGTGCCCGTGAAACCAAGGGTACCTCACGAACAAGTTCTCCTTTTTTTCGAGAAATTCTGTACCAAGTGCGATTGCCACCATTGATTACATACGCATCAGCGTCCAAGATCAATATCTAACGCAGTTTCAGGCACGCTCCCGCGAGAAATGAAAGCATGGACAGGGGAGCGATCGGACACTTCCCAGTTCGTGCGATGTGTTCGTATACGACGTACCTTCCTCCCCCCAACACTGGCTCCAGAATTTTTGATAAGAAAAAAAGACCTATTATTGGGTGATGGTCGAATTGGGTACTACGGAAGCGATGGGTGCTGAATACACACTCTTTTTTTTAGCTTTGTTCGTTCTCTATTGATGAGTCCTTCGCTGCAAATGCTACGACTCGTAAAAACTACCTCATATTTCACATGCCTGACTGAGTTTATAGGCCATCTGAACCTTCAAGCTCAGTGAAAACCTTGTGGTTTCACCTGGAACCGACTGAATGAAGAATACCTGGTCGTTTTAGTAGGTAATTTTTTTTTTCCTTTCAACTTCGCGAAGCAGAGCAGCAATATTTTTACGGATTCCAGTACATGGACGGACTAGAAAAGTTACTGCAGATCAAGGCCATGCATTGTATGTAATACAACGGGATGCAGCGGAAGTCTGGAAATGGGAAAAATTCATGAGTATCATGAAGACGAAAATGCCAAGAAAATTTCAGCGCACGAAACGCCCTTTGCTACGAGCAGTGAACATTAAAGGTTAGTAGTTGAACCAGAAAATTCTGGGGAAGTTTTTTATCCTCTCATTTCAGTCATGCGTTGGTTCAACCTGTTTCAACCATTTTTTAAAGTTCTAAAGTAACGAATTTTCCTGGACGTGTAACTCTTTCGCTTGTCCGAGAATCGTCAATTGTTTAGGTTAATAGATGTTACAGCGATGGTTCTACATCCCATACGTCGAGCAAGTTGTCGACCAGAATTTCGATTTTTGCCGGCGGGGAGATCCTAAAATACACACCTATAACCTCGATGCTATCGGGTATTTTTGGAACGAAGCTGGTGAGTGGGAGACCTCGGAGCGCATGAAATGGACCGCCGGGCACTCAAGAAGTTGTTCTTCTCTCGTATGTTTGTAGTAGACTACCCCCTCCGTTGGCTTTAGGGCGGTTTCTCAAAAGAGGCAATAGTTGATGAGTCGAGGCACGGAAGATTGCCCCCCCAGTTTTTCTTGCGCGTTAGCTGGAGGCGACCCCGGGTTAACTAGTGGAAATCTTAGACCAGCCCCCGGCTGTGCTCCGACCTCGAAATCAGCGGCACCCCGGGGAACGCCCTTGCGAATTCGATAGCGGATTCCCTCCGTCTATGCTGCTCGTCGCGTTTAATCAGAGCCGCGTAATTTAATTTTCTCCAGCCCATTTCCGCGGCATCTGGAGAGAATTAACGCTGTTTGTACCGCGATGATCGCCGGCCGAGGGGGGGGGGGGGGGGGGGGATTGGGCAGGGGGGAAAAATTCAAACTCCTATCCGACGAGCTCAAGGTCTGGGGGGGGGGTATTCGGCAGTGGGGAAATACGAGGGTTACCCCACCGTTCGCACGGAATACTTCACGCGTCCGTCGGGGGACTCTCCAATGCAAAATCCCCGAGAGACAAACTTTGAAATCCCTGTCCGCCATGTTTCGGGTACTGACGCTGATAGCCGGGATCGATCATTCATGCAAAGTCACCGTTTAGCTCGGGTATTTAACGGTGCTTCCCGGCAACGTCCCGAAACGAGTCCGAGGGATTACGAAGGCGATGCAAACGAGTTCAGGGAATCGAAACAAAGCGCTCAGACGAGCGAGAGATCTTGTGAAAAATAAATAGTTAATAAAATCCGCCCGTGCTGCATTCCGCATACGAAATTTGTCGACGCGCTTCGCATAAGTACTCGTCCTCAATAGGGACTCACTCCGGACCTGCGATTTGAATTCTTGTTTTGAGTTACTGAAAGTGATTCACAGGGAACCGCGCGTCGGGCAGTGAGGCATTTTCGTGATGGCCCCGGATCGAAGCCATTCCATCGAAAACAGCGGGGATTGCGAATATTCTAAAGACGATAAGCAGGAACGGGGCATTGAATGGCGTTTGGATCGGGCGAAATCAACTCACTTGTAGAAAATAGGACGATCAGCAAACAGCTGGTGACGATCTTCCTCCCACTCATTTTGCCGCTCTTCGATTCGCTGGGTCTTTCGCTGCTGCAGCGATGAGCAGTCAAGTTCATTCTTTATGCCACTTTTTCAACGGTTCAAAACGTCCGTCTGCGCGAGCCGCGAAAGGTATCTGAGCCCTGTAAATTTGATCAATTCAGTTCATCTTCAATGCGGAAATTTTTTTTCAAGGTATTCGAGATAAAACCCGGACGGATTGTTTCTCCTGTCCTCGATGCTTTTCCGTCAATGAACCAAATAAATCAATCAAGAGTCATGCCAACTTGGGTGTTGATGTTGACAGGAAATGAATACTTGAGGCGTCGACGTACCAGCAAGCAGTATTGAACGGGAAGGAAATGGGTTACACGCGTTTCGACGGAATTCGAAGCACGTGATACGTTTTGTTATGTTTTTGCCTGCCAAGACTTCAATGCACAATGGAAGACTGCTACACGTACCTTTCCGGCGGTACAATATCGGTGGGTATGAGAGATCGAATTGAATTCCCGAGCGTCCGTGGGGAAATGGTGATATTTGCAATGGCCTTCACAGAAAGCGCTCAAGACGATCCACAGTGAATTTGGATAACATTTCGTGCATAAAAGATTCTATTTTATGTCGATCTTGTGCATATTTTTGCATAGCTCCAACAGCAAATTGCAAAAACTCAGCCAAAATCCCTCTAGAACACGCTGCCGTGAATAGACCATCATAACGAGAGTCCTACAACTAGAAGGAAAATTGACGAATTGAGATGGTATTTACCAAGTAAAGTTTTTTACAGCGAAATCATCAAAATATGCGATACTCGCCACTCTTCATTGCCGAAATGCAGATCGGAAATCTTTAAAATTTGAAGATTGAAAAATTGATCCACTCACATCCATTTTTGCTTGTGAAATTCAATGGGCAATTCTTCCTCTCAACTACAAAAACAAATCAAGTAAACGCAAGAGAAAGTGAAAACAAATAAGCAACGTAGCAAATTGAAATAGAATGAAACACGTTAAACACGTTCGATTAACACACAGTCGGACTGACAGGCCTGTATGACGTTTGTTTAACCAACTTCCTGGAAACCCGATCTAACTGACAAGGAGGAGAGCAAGAAAAAAATCGAACCAATACGTCTCTTCAGGATGGTCAAGGGAAAAAAATAGAAGGAAATTCACGCTTGACGCCGTACCCAGACCTCAGGCCAGAGCGAGGTTCCCACTAACTGAGGCCGGGAGTGACGCCTCGTCCGGACCTCAGGCCACGGACGAGGGAAAAAACCCGCGCTCCTCACCCTGGACTGCATGCAACCCCCGGGCGGGAAAAGACCCTGGTTTGGGGCCAGACAATCCATAGCCATCAACCAGATCCCATTTCAGAATTCTGTAGTTTCCAAATTTTAATTGCCTTTCAACAGGACGCAGATTTTTTTATTCAATTTGAACTACAAGGGGCAAGTCGTCGTGCGACATTCTTATCCAGGTATCGAAAATGCCTTCGTCTCTTTGCGTTCGTAACCAGCTAACCACAGAATAATCTCGCTAAAATAAATTTAATAACGGGGTGAATTCAAAATATTCCAGGTAGTATTGAAGCTGAAACCCTTCGACAAGCCACCGTATACCATTTCAGATTCAGAATACTGACACTCAAAACTTTGATTGACTTTTTATTAAGCCGGCCAATTTCAAGAGAGGTATTGAACTGCTCTGTAAAAGTCCTGCTGCGGGCTTCTGCAACATCCCACATATTATGGAATCCAAAATTAATTTATATGATCTCGAGATCTATTTTAATTAAAACCAAGAAAATAAGTCAAAACATTTCAGCTGAAATGAGACTTCAAAAAAGGCGTGAGCGCTGAAAAGCTTCTCTAATGATGAAGTTGCGTTGAGTAAACAACAATCAATTACATTCATCATTTCCATACGTGAGTGTTGGTAAAACAAATCAAGGAAGCCAATTAAATGCTCGGGGATTACCAACTTTCAGATCGCTTGAACGTCTTGAGCAAAGAAGCACTTCGATACCGACTTCCCCCGCATGAAATGAGATTGAGATGCCAATGGAGCCATCCCTGCTGAAGCAAGACACGGGATTACAGAAACTTTGGTTTCTAAAACTGTTCAATCCAGTGTGCAGGCTAACCCCGAAGAAACTTCAGGAAGAAGAAAAAAGATGAATACGACGGATAAGGTTCCGAGTTGGGCTGGGGTTGCTCCAGGCGTCGCACCGTGCGGGAAACCGTGGGGAGCCGGGTTTCTGGAGAAAACCCAAACTCGGGGGGGAGCTCGATGTGACGCATCACTTTCCTTTGGTTCAGCAGGGTGCGAAAGAGGCATTTTCCGCAGGAGACTGGGGATGCGAGGCCTTCATGTTCCCACGCGGATGTCCTTTCTTCATATTCCTTCCCACTGATTTCTGTACACGCAGTTCGTTTATTGACACCGGATCGTGGCCGGGCCGCAAGCGCGAGGAGAACCTTATTCCAATCACTTGACCCAACCTCGAGCAGAGCAGACTGCCCAAAAACTTTTTAACCGCGGTTTCGGATGAGGTTTCCTTGCTTCTAAGTATATCGCGTAGACAAGTTATCAAATTTTCAAGAATTCAGAGTAAACTGTGTGAATATCTATGCATTTTTATCAGCCAGTTTTTTGGTTATTTAATCCATTTCGAAGCTCGACTAATGGATGCGTCGACACTATTTCTCTGCGGTTCGGCATTCAATTAAAAATCTCGTTCACTGAAATAACTTCGGTGTCAGACCCCAGGAAGAATAGACCTTCCTTCACTGATTTACCAAATTTAGAATGATGATTCAGCTGGAACAGAACTGCTTAGATAGGTGTACGTGCTGAACCCCCATGCGAATCCTGGTGCCTAATCTAGTTTGCTCTCAAGGTTCCAGCCACAATTTGTCTGATTCAGGAAACAGATCAGACAGCTTTGAGGGGAATTCGGCAGACCAATGAAAGATTACGCCCAAGTAAAGCAGCAGGATTAATTATGTCGACCGAAAGATCATACAACCATCAACCGGTTCCCGTTGCCTCAAGATTCTCACTTTGTCGTTACTGAAAATGTTAACTTTATGAGTTTGAATTTTGTTCTTTCGTTAATTCCGCAGATTATTATCGGCCATTAGGATAATTAAATTCTTCTCGCAGTAAACCAGATGAATTTGCGAACTATTTGCTTTATATAAAGTGGTGCAAAACATGAATACAAAATTTTTCCTACAACGACACTTATTTCACATGCATAATATGGCAGTACTCCTATAAGTTTAAATTTCCGTGCAAGCAAGTGATTTTAGGTATAAGTAGGGTATGCATGAAGGTCAAAAAATATCTCTGATTATGTTGCAATTCTTTTCACTGATTTTTTGTTTTTGTTATCATAAGGGAAGAGAAGAAAGTGCATGTATTCACATCTGTTGTGCCATTGTACATTCTGATGTGATGGCATTTTTTTGGATGAATGGGGGTCAGGAGAGGAGTGGGTTTGGATGTGGGAATGTTGCTTGAACCTTGTAAATGCTGAAAAGCAGAAAATAAAGCTTATGCTGTTCAATTCAATTCAATTCTCCAATTCAATTCTCTCTTGGATTATAACGTGTTTCAGCTGTATCAACCATTTAAAATGTTTCAAGATGATACCATTTCAGTGATGACCTAGAATAATCGGAAGAAATTTCACGTGAATCATAGAGCACGTTAATTCTTAAAATGAAATTATGCATCACTGCTGATAAGTTATTTTTTTCCTTTGCATTCAATCACGGATATACAGTAGGTCGCTTTGTTTCTCCGTTAAACATTAATCTAGACTTGAATACAAACACCGTTGCATATAATCTTGGATTAACGTATTTCAGCTGTATTTTGAGCTTCAAATCGGAGAAGGACCTTTGAGAAATCTCGAGAGAAGATGCGGTGACTCAATATAAAACCATCACAAAAACGCCATCAATCGCACATACTCTTACGACGTTCATACTCACTGAGTCAGTGTTCTTTGACGATACTAATCACTGTACCATTACTGACGCGACAGTTGAGTACCGGAAGGTCAGCGATCGCTTTCGTAAGTACAGTTGCAATCACCGCGAATTCGATTGTCAGCGTTAATTGATCTGATCAATTAAAATTATGGGACCATCAGAAAGGAAAAGGATCGCAAATGCTGTTAATGTCAGCAACTGCTTTTTTTTTTTTTACAAATCTGGAACGATGGTGTGATATCATTGTACTTGAACTTGGCTCCCGAATTTATGACAGGAAACAGTTGAGAATGAACGCAGCCACGCGAGTCGTTCAGAATAAAAGTTGGGGGACAAAGCGTCGAGCTTTTACCATTCATCACTCTTCTCGGTTGAACGCGTGGGGAATACTCGGAAATTACTCCCTAAAATATTATACACGGGGCCGAAAAGTTGAAAATGTTATTTCCAGAATATTTGAGTGACTGAGTACATATAACGCGTGCTCCTCTTTTATTTTCTTTTTCTGATGAAACAAAAGTTCAACGCGTTCAACAGTTGCACTTAATTGCATCGCGTGCACTCGTATGTTTTCCCGCACCGATTGCTAAAATGGCTATGTTTCAACGACGCAATAGCCTCGCTGATTTGTTTCTGGTCGTCTTCGAGCCAAATAAATTACGCTGTTGCGGGTATACAGGACAAGTTTACTGAAGTGTGCACGCAACCACTTATCGCAGTTGGATTTTGAAGCCTTTCAGAGAATGAAACGTGTCTTCGTGAAGTTATAATGCACTCTGTAAAGAATGCATTAGTTGATTTTCCTGGCGCTAAACGTATACAGTCCTATATATATATATATATATATATATATATATATATATATATTGCAGAATATTCCGCCACAGCGTTGCAAAAAAGATTGTCTGCTTGCTGGTCCATTTCCATTCTTCGATCCTGATATGAAACCATGGATGATGAAAAATAAATTGGCCCACGAGTGCACACCTTATTTATTAATTCCATCTGGTCATTGCTTTGAGTTGATGATCTATTCGGATCTCCTGCTTGGTTTCAGTTCAGCTGAATGTCGAAAGAAATAGACCCCAACTTACTCAAATGATTCCCTTAATTTAGTATAGACTCGATCGAGATAGGAATTCCGAAGAATCAAA